GGGGCTGCAGGTCGGGAGTGAGGGGCACTGGCAGGGCTGGGGGTGACGGGGCTGCGGGTCGGGGTGACGGGGCGCTGGCTGGGGCAGCTCCCTGTGACCCTAGCTCTGCCCCCACCCCCAGGCCGTCTCGTGACCGGTGACTCAAACAAGAACATTCACCTGTGGAGCCCCAAGGCGGACGGGACGTGGCACGTGGACCAGCGCCCCTTCACCGCCCACACCGCCTCTGTGGAGGACCTCCAGTGGTCACCGACGGAAGCGACGGTGAGTGGCAGCCCTACCAGGAGAAACAGGATACTGGGGTAGATGGGCCTGTGGGGCTGATCCGGAGGGGCGGGGTGGGATGGGATACTGGGGTAGATGGGCCCCTGGCAGGTGGCCACGCTGCCCTGACCCCCTCTCGCCCAGGTGTTTGCCTCATGCTCGGCGGACGGGTCCATCCGGGTGTGGGACGTGCGGGCAGCGCCGGGCCGGGCCTGCATGCTGACGGCCAGCCAGGCCCACGCCAGCGACGTCAACGTCATCAGCTGGAACCGCCATGAGCCCTTCCTCCTCAGCGGGGGGGATGACGGGGCCCTGCGCGTCTGGGACCTGCGCCTCTTCCAGGTCAGTGCCCCCCGGACTCCCCCTGACTGCCGGTGCCCCTCACTCCCGATCCACAGCCCCCTGCTAGCCCAGCCCTGTCCCCCCATAGCTCTGCCAGTGCCCCTCACTCCCGACCCACAGCCCCTTCTAGCCCAGCCCTGGGCTCCCCCCAGCTCTGCCAGTGCCCGTCACTCCTGACCCACAGCCCCTGCTGTCCCAGCCCTGGGCTCCCCCCAGCTCTGCCAGTGCCCCTCACTCCCGACCCGCAGCCTCCGGTAGCCCAGCCCTGGGCTCCCCGCAGCTCTGCCGGTGCCCCTCACTCCCGACCCGCAGCCCCCCTCACCGCTGCCCTCTCCCCCCACAGACAGGCACGAGCGTGGCGACCTTCAAGCAGCACACGGCGCCCGTCACCTCGGTGGAGTGGCACCCCACAGATGGGGGGGTGTTCGCAGCTGCGGGTGCGGACGACCAGGTGACCCAGTGGGACCTGGCGGTGGAGCGGGATCAGGAGGGGGAGGGGGAGAGCGAGGATGACCCAGCCCTGGCCTCCATCCCCCCCCAGTTGCTCTTCGTGCACCAGGGAGAGACGGACATCAAGGAGCTGCACTGGCACCCCCAGTGCCCGGGGGTCCTGATCACCACCGCCCTGTCCGGCTTCACCGTCTTCCGCACCATAAGTGTCTGATGGGGCAGAGCCTGGCTTGGGGGGAGCCTCCCCCTTGCAGATGGACCATTCCAGCTGTGTGCTGCTTCCATTGCACAGAATCGGGGGAAAGCGTTGGGGGGGGGGGGGGGGGGGGGGGAGTTGGTCTGCTCCATGTAGTGGCTGCTACCATTGCACAGGCAAGAAGGGGATCCCAAGATGAGGAGCCTCAACACAAACTTTCCCCCTCCTTCCTCCATGCAGTTGGACCGTTCCAGTTAGTGGCTGCTACCATTGCATGAAATGGGGTGGGGAGACAATGTGCTTCCATATTTGGTGTTATCCACCCCCTCCTTGCAGATGGACTTTTCCAATTGCTACCATTGGTCAGAATTTGGGGGTTGGTGGTGTCTGGACCTGGACCCTTTCATTCTGCATGGGGGGGCCGCATGCCTCCAGAAAATGCACTGTTCTGCAGCTTGTTTTGGGGAGCTACCATCTAATGTGGATAGGGGGGGGGACACTGATTTCAAGCTAGTTTCCCCCTCAGTTGTACATGGTTTGGTCTGAATTTGGTTGCTACTACTTGGGATGGGGGGGGTCATCACCCCCATTCTATTGAGAGAAGTGGATTGCTCCGGAGGCTACCAATTCTGCATGGGTGGGGGGGAAGAGTTGGTTCACTCCAAATATATTTTCGATGCTGCCACCATGCACTGATGGGGGTGGGGAGCTAGCTCCCAGGGGGTGCACAAATCCCTGGGGTGGGGGAATGGGAGACAGACCCCCAAATGCAGAGAGGGGGCAGGGGAAAACTTGCATCCATTGGTGGGGGGGTGGGTCCACAGCCAGGCCCCTCCCACTTTAACCCCAGATTGGGGGAGGGGTCCACTAGCTCTCCCCCCCCCCATGGATGCCTCTGGGCAGGCAGGGTGGGGTGGGGGGGTTAGTACATACTATCTATTTTCTGGCAAGTTCAATTTTAATTAAAGAAAAAAAGTTCATAACCTACTGGAGTCTGGTCAGTCTGGGGGGGGACCCACCTCCCAGCTTGGACTGTGCCCTCCCAAACCACAGCCCCTCCTTATCTGTGCCCTGTCCCGCCCCTCCCCGGCTCTGCTAGTGCCCCTCACTCCCGAGGTGCAGCCCTGGGCTCCCCCACCCCTCCAGTTCTGCCGCTGCCTCGTTCCCCGCTCGGCCCCAGGGCCGGCAGACACCCCCAGCAGCGTCCCCTCCTGCCCCGGCGGGCTTTGGTCCGGGGGGAGGGGTACTCAGTGCCTGGCTGGGAGTGGATTGTGCCCCCCAGTTCCCGGCTGTCCCCCGTGCGGGTCACTGCAGCCCGCTCCATTGCAGGGAGGTGAAGGCGAGGGCGCCGCCCGTGCCCGGAGAGCAGAGCAGCAGGGTCTTCTTGACGCCGGTGCCCAGGCGGGCGGCAGCCACCAGGGCGCGGAGCGGGAGAGGGGCTCCCGGGGGGCAGCACAGCGCGATGTAGTGGGCATGGAACCGCAGGGGGTCGCCTGCAGGGGAGAGGCCGAAGGGGGAGGGGTCAGGCCAGCTGCCCCCTGCCCCACCCCCTCCAATCCTCCCCTGAGCACCCCCCAACCCATCCCCTCCCCCACTTCTGGGGCCTGCAATGCCCCCACTCCCCACCCACCTTCATGCACTCCTCCCCAGGGCTGGTCAGCTCCCCCTGCCCCATTTCCCCTAGGCTCCCCCCCCACCTACCTGGGTACACAAGGAAGTCTCCCCCAAACTTGCTCCCTCCGGACAGGTAGTAGCCCCTGCCCCACAGCTCACGGAAGACGCGGTACCGGGCCTCGTGGGCTGGGCGGCCGGCATGAGGCCAGTCTGGGGAGGGTGAGGTCCAGTCCACCTGCTCGACCCGCCCCGGGCGCTGCCGCGCCGTGGGCAGCTGGACCATCATGGAGCTGCGGGGCAGGACGAAGGGCGAATCCAGGAGCCCCGAATCCTCCACCGTGTCTGGGAGTGGAGAGAGCAACAGGCTAGGAGAAGCTCGGGCCGGAGTGCAGCTGCCTCTGGGGTGGGGCATGGGGGCTGGTTATATGGGGACCCCTCGCCCAGCACTAGGATGCAGCCCCTCTGGGGTGGGCATGGGGGTTGGATATCCGGGGACCCCTTGCAAGGCACTGGGACGTGGCCCCTCGGGGTGGGCGCAGGGGCTGGGTATACGGGGACCCCTCACCCGGCGCTGGGACATGGCCCCTCAGGGTGGGCACGGGGGCTGGGTATACGGGGGGCCTGGTGCTTATCCACAAATGAGCCCCGCCGAACTGAGCCCCAGCACAGGCCCCCTGGGCCCAGCACTGACAAACCGGGGACAGCGCCCCCTACTAAACCCCCCCTTCTCTGCAGCCCCTGGGTTTCCCTAGCAGGTCTCCCCTCTAAGACCCAGCCCCACCTGGCGTCTCCCCGCGCTGCTCTCTGCGGCGGGCTCGGCCCTGGGCGATGCGCTCGGCCAGCTGGGCCAACAGGGCCCCCCTCTCTGCCCCAGCCAGGCGCTGCTGCTCCTGGTAGCTCTCTTCCAGCTCCCGCTGGTAGGCCTCCACCTCGGCTGCCTGGGTTCGGGGGAGAGGGGGTTAGCTCCGGTATGGGGCGCACGGCACAGCCGTCTCCCCACAGGATCCCCTCCCCAAACATGCTCCGCCCCCCTGCCCAAGCTGGTGCCCCCCGAGAGGGAAAAGGCCCCGGGCCCCATTCCCTGCCCCCAGTCAGCCAGTCCCTGCCCTGGGACTGGATGGGAGCTGGCGCCCCCTAGAGTTGAAAGGCCCCGTGCCCCATTCCATGACCCACTGACCCAGCCAGTCCCCGCCCTGGGGCTGGATCGGCACCCCCCAGAGGAGCAAGGCCCAAGGTCCCTCACCTGGGTCGGTTCCTCCCCCTCCGCCGGGGGCTGGGTCTCGGTGCCCCTCACCAGGACGGCTGCGCCCAGCTCGGCAAGCAGCCGGGCCTCCTCGGGGAGCAGCTGCAGGGGGAGGCCCAGGCGGGCGTTCTGCCGGGGCTTGCGGGCCAGCGCCCCCACCAGGGTCCCCACCAGCCGGAACCGCTCACGGATCTCTCGGGCGTCCTCCGCGCTCCAGACGAGAGCCGCCCCCTCCAGCACGTGGATCCGGATCATGGCGCCGCAGCAGCTGCAGGGAGGAGGGCGGCGAGAGTGGGGGACGCGGCCGCTCTGGGGCAGGGCGCGGGGGCTGGTTATACCGGGACCCCTCGCCCAATGCTGAGATGCGGCCACTTCTGGGGCAGAGCACCACAATCCCAGCATGCTCTGGGGCAGGGGGTGCTGCACTCCCATCATGCCCTGAGACTAGGGCCCCACTGCCAGGGCCAGGCCCCCCACCAGGCCCCCAGCCCAGGCAGAGGACAATTTCAGCATGCCCTAGGCGGGGGGGTGTGCACTGCAATCCCATCATGCTTTGGGGCAAGGGGTGCCACTATCCCAGCATGCCCCGGGACTAGGCTGGCCAAGCGGTGCTGATGCCCCAGAGGATGCTGGGAAAGCCCCTTTTCAGGGAGTCTGGTTCTGGCCACAAGATGGGAATCCCTTTAAAAGGCCACACCCACCCACACCAAACCACGCCCACTGCCCCAAGGCATTCTGGGAGTCCCATTCTTAAAAACCCTCCATTAACACCCCTCCCCCCCCCCAGACACACAAAGGATTTTGGGAAACAGTTTCTTAAAGGGCCACACACTAAAAATAAACAAATCTCTGCCCCTTCCACGCAAGGTATTCTGGGTAACCTATTCTTAAAGGGCCACGCACACCCCCAACTTAACCCCCAAAGAAATTCTGGGAAACAGTTTCTTAAAGGGCCACCCACGCACCTATACCAAACCCTGCTTCTTTCCCCCAGGGCATTGTGGGCAATCTCTTCTCCAAGGGCTACACCCCCCCCCCCATTCCCCAGCTCACTCACCTTCACCCCTGGGCTCCCCTGCACCCAGCTCTGGGGTGGGCCTGGGGGGTGTTTGCAAAGCAAGCTGGCTGGTCCCTCTCTCTGCTCCTGCAAGGCGAGGGGGGGCGGGGTTCTCGCAGCTGAGCGACGGCCCCATTGGCCAATACCCGAGGAGGGGTAGAG